CTCCACGCGCATTTGTGCTGCGCCCCCCCGCCCCGCCCCACCCCGCATGCGCGCGGCCGCTACCTGCTCAAACACGGAGATGGCGCGCGCCCGGCTGCCCAGCAAAACTCCAAGGTCTGCCGCCGCGGGCGTGGTCGGGCGTGGCGGGGCCGATTACGGGCCGGCTGTCGCGCCGCCAGGGCACACGGCGCCCGGTGGTGGTGCAGCAGACAATCGCGGCAGCCCCCCAGAGGCGGCCACGTTCCTGAAGGCGTGGCGGTTCACAGCAGCACAAGCAGGACGGACAGCGCGCGGCGCAGCAGCAGCAGCAGCAGCAGCAGCAAAGCAGCATGCGGCGGCGCTCGCCGACGCGCGCAGGCCGCACCCGCCGCCCCCGGCTCGCCGCCCTGGCGCAGGCGCTTCTGCAGCAGGTGTGCCTGGGACGAGTCCCTGCCGCCGCCGCTCACGCCGCTCGCGGTGGACTTCTTATCCCTGGTTGACAGTTTGAGGGGCCACGCTGTCATGCGGCATCCGAGGCAAGGCACCTCGTGCACAACAGGTGCTGCCAGGGGCCCGAGCGCACGCTTCGCACTGTGTCACGGCACATGTCCTGGTGAGCGCCCACTCCAGTCGCAGCTGTCGTCGGCCCGCGCCCCACCTGCTCTCCTCCGCGCGGGTGAACAAGTGAGACCCGACATTTGACTTTCGACGCAATGAAGCCATCGCCGCCTGGCCACGCTGCTGCGCCTCAGGACGCGCCTAGAGCGGGCGCACCACGCATGGCGCGCCAAAAGCTGGCACGCCGCACAGTACGCACGCAGAACACCTGGCTGTATACACCGCAAACCCTCAACAGCAGGGGAATCGGTCGGGTCGTTCGAAACCGTGTGATCTATCGTATCAATTCAACTTGCAGCTCGACATGCCCTGCCGTCGTGCGGTGAGATTATTGTCAGGGGTGATTGTAGCTGACTCAAAAACTCACTTGGAAGTCAGATCACCAGAGCTCTGATCGCCTTGCAGGCGGCCAGGCCCAGCACAGCTGCACATCGCCACACCATGAGTGATTCAGGAGGCAGCTCACCGAGAAGGCGGGCCAGGAGCCGCAGCAGGGAGCGCAGCGGCAGGTGCGGCGGCCCCGCAAACCACACTCAAGCAGCGCACGCACACTGTGAAGTGCGCGGGGCTGGGCCCTCCGCGATTGCAATCATTGGGCCCGGCCACGGATATCTGGCAATATACTCGCCTGTGACTTGCACCACATGGGCCGTGCACCCTGCCGCCTGTTCACATGCAGCCCGGTTGAGGCTGACGATGCCAGGGATGACCGTGCCGCGCCGCTCGAGCGCAACGGCGACGGTGACCGGGACCGGGACCGCGGCAGGGAGAGGAGCCGCAGCAAAGAGCGTGGCGGCGGCGGCAGCGGCGATCGTGAGAGGGACAGGGACAGGGAGAGGGACAGGCGGGCGAGCCCGGCGAGGCGCAGCCCCGACAGGCGCCGGAGCCGCAGCCGCGACCGGCGCCGCAGCCCCGAGCGCCGCCGCAGCCCGGAGCGCCGCCGCAGCCCGGAGCGCCGCCACAGCCCGGAGCGCCGCCGCAGCCCTGAGCGCCGCCGAAGCCCGGAGTATGACCGGCGTTCCCCGCCGCGCCGCCGCAGCCGCAGCCGCAGCCCCGACCGCTACCGGGAGCGCGACCGCGGGTACGACAGGGACCGGGGCGGTGGCGGCTACGACAGGGGCGGCGACCGCGATAGGGGCGGCGGCGACAGGGGCGGCGGTGGCGGTTACAGGCGGTTGGAGCAGGAGCCGATTCCCAGCGCGCGCGTGGTGTTCATCGGCGGCCTGAACTTCATGACTGAGGAGCGGGTGAGCTGCGGCCGGGTGCTGCAGGGAACCCCGGCCACCTTGAAAAGAGGACGCCCCCCACACGCGCCCCCCCCCCATACTCACACCCACACACACACAAGCACGCGCAAGCACGTGAGACGTGCACGTGTCCTTGAGCTAGCTCAAAAATGCACACACAAACATCTGGCATTCACCTGGGGATGCATAAGCTCACACGCCCACTGCGCATCCCGGTGGCGCAACCACCGTCGCCGCCCGGCCCCCAGGACCTGCAGCGCTACTTTGGCGATGCTGGCAAGGTGGTGGCGGCGCGCGTGGTGCGCGACCCCAACAACGGCCACAGCCGCGGCTTTGGATTTGTGGGCTTTGCTCGCGAGGACGAGGTGGACGTGGTGAGAGGGCCCTCTCACTACGGCGGGGATGGTGCGTGTCACCCCTGCGTGCTGCCAGGTTGCACAAGGTGTGCAGCCGGCGCAGCGTGTTGTATGCGAGGGTCACGCACGGCCGCTGTGGTCGCCCATGCTGCAAGCAAGCTGGACACGCCGACTCCCGTATCACCAGGCTATCCGCAAGATGGACGGCGAGGAGATCCACGGCCGCAGGGTGGCGGTGCAGGTGGGATTGTGCATATGCTTGGGCGTGGGCCGCGCGGCATGCTGCGTTGGTGCGACGCATAGCAGTGCGGCCCTTCTCTCTGCCTGCCGCTGCGCCGCCCCATGCCGCGCCTGACATCCCCGTCCATCCCGCTTGTTGTACACCTGCCTTCACTGCATACAGCGGGCAAAGACGACCCTCTACTAATTACGGACGCGCTGCTGAGCCGCCCCCGGCGGGTACACTGACTCCAAGACGGCTCAAGCTGCTGCAGGCAGACTTCAGTGTGCACACGGGTGCTGCTGAAAGTGCCCTCTACAATGGCACATGGGCGACGTGGTTGCACCCTTCATGGGACCTGCCAACAAGCTGCGTGTTCTGGTTGCGGTGAATGACCGTCCAACTTCATGCACATGTGCCTTGTGTAAAGTGAGTTGTCGCAAGCGGCTTGGAAATTTATTTGGGATTGGATGAGACGGCTGGTGGGCCGAACTTGCACCATGAATGTGAGCCTTGACGGACTTGAGACCAGGCCCCACCTTCTCCCCTGCCGAGCGGGCAAGGTCCATTACAGCATTATAGCAACGACAGACACCTTGGTCAGGCAAATGGAACACTTGCTGCTATCAGACCGTGCGAAAACAATGAGCATAAAATAACCGCTGTTGCCTTTGCCGCACCCGCCGTCAAGACGCTCAAATCGCTGAGACATTCATGTCGCATGCGGTTCATAACAATCGAATTTTATGCCCTTGAACTACAGTTCTATAGCATTCATCGACATTGCTGATGTACCGTATCATACGGACCGGTCTCGAAGTTGATCGACGTGCAGTTCGCACCTCATGGGACGCAGGGCCCGAGCGTAACAGCTGCATTCTCGGCATATATAATACCATTAAAACAGCAGCTCGCAAGCATCGGACATCCCGGCCAGCAACAGCAGCACATTTCCTCGCTCTGCCCTCCAGAGTTGGGCACGTAGAGCAGCCTCGAGGGCAGGTGCCGAACAGCATCCGCGTGAAACAGTTATATTTATCATATATAGATGGATTGGTGCTGCCGGCGAGGGGCGCCGGCGAGAGCCACGCGCGCCGCAGCCAGCCTGCTGCTCCTGCTGCTGCTGGCGCGTGCGTCGCTCACTTACGGCCAGGGTGAGAATGCACGACAAGTGGAACGCACACCGCGCAGTAGCAGCATTGTGCTTCGCTCTGCTGCTTCGTTATGGACTGCAACATGGGCGGGCAGACACGAAAATCTTGCTTTGACGTGCACCTTGCCAGGTACATGGCACATGTGTTTTGAGCACACCAAAGCATGAATTGCGCACAGCCGGTTGCCTGAACATGTGCCCGGCTGCACCGCCCTATTTCGCCGCTTGCAGCGCCGCCGTCGCCGCCCGTCGACCCGCGGCCCCCAGGCGACCCGGTGCACAAAGGTGGCCGCACGCTGTGGCAGCTGGGAGAGGATGGTGGCCTGAAGCTGATGGGCGCATCACCGCCAGTGGCACCGCAGCCGAAGTACTGGACCTTCAATCACAACTGCAAGGCCGGCATGTGCACCAGCCTGTGCTGGGAGCGCTCACGGCACTACGACGAGGGCCGCTGTGTCGATGCTTCGAGCGGGCGGCGGTACTGCAAATGCTGGAAGGGCGCGCGCGGTGGGCCTACAGTTGAGGCGGTGTGACAGCAGCGGCTGACATCGCCACCGGCCGTGCTCGCCAAGCTTGAGCGCCCCTTCGTCTTTGCTGGGCCGCGTGGTCCCTGGCCGTTAACCCCGGGGCACCCGCAGCCCCGCAGCGTGCAGTGCAAGCCTGGAACGTGCAACCAGGAAGCGTAGGTGACCTGAGACGCTGCTCGTGTATTTGCTCCGTGCTGTTGCAGTGTGTTATGTACAGCGTAGTATGGCGCTGCCATGGCGCCATGATCAGTTTCGTTTTGATGGCTGCATTGCGTTGATGCCGCCATTGTGCCAGCGGATCACGGGACCTTGACAAATACACCCCCGTCCTGCCAAGCATCTTCCTCCCATGCGTTGCCGGTGCTTGCATTGGCAAGGAAACAACCACATGCTTGAGTTATACGACTTGATTTGGCTGCTAGTAAGCAAGCAAGCTATGCGCTGCGTTGCGTTTGCATACACGGCATGCTCACAGCAGGTCCGTCCCATCTAGTGGAATGGTCACGGGTTGTATGAGCCCGTCAGCAATCAAGCAGCGGCTCGCTGACTTGACATTTTTTCGGTCACAACTTTGGTGCCCCACAAAGTTGCGGCTTGCAAGATGAGGCACTCCTCAGGCACAAACCCTCCAGTCCAACACTGCTGGGCGCCGTCTGCGTGTGTAGTGTGGGAAGCGACCAGCACAACTGCAGGTGGCTTTGCGGGCCCGCGCAGGTGCTAATGAAAGAAGTTATGAGATCGTGTGAGCAGAGAGGAGTCCTTGCTGACTTATTAGGTTGAGAAGAGACTGGTTGCCATCGAAGACGTAACAGCTAGGCAACTGGTGTGCGTTGCGCAAGTGGGGTCTCCTCGCACTCCACTGGTACGCTTCAGAAACACCCCTTCTTTGTAATTGACCCCGGTTCCCTGTAATTGCGACAACGCTGGCCCTCCACACAGACTCGTCACCGGCGTGGCCGCCACATCTCGACGCTGAGACGCAGGATATTGATCGCCGCCATGTCTCCGAGCCCCACACCACCACGACTGCGGCTTCGAGCGCGCCGCTAATTTCAGCCATTTGAAATCACTGAGATTTCAAAGCGTGCATGCGGAGGGGCTCGAGGACGCATCGAACGGGGACCCGGTCAGGTGTGACTCCGCACACTCGCCCCCTGCACCGTGGCCGTGTGCGTGGTGATATCGATGAAACTTCTGAGTCGTATATGACTTGTGGAAGTTGTGTCACCGGTACGCGTGGTCGGAACTTGGACGGCCCTACGAGCAGCAAAGGAGCCGCAGCTCTCCGTTAGGACATCGCCAGGCTGACGCTGCAGTTAGGTTGGGCGTTGGAATATCACCACGGTGTTTCGGAGCCGTAGACGTGAGATTGCTCACTCGAAATCGTGGTGCGGTGCCCTACTCTCCACACCCACCGAGCACAAGGCGCCGAGGCCGCTTGTCGTTGAGCCAAACACACGCGTGTCTCTGCTTCAAATTCTGGAGTGGTGGCCGGCTCAGGCAGGCGGCGCGCCGTGAGCCAATCCACTCGGCGCGTCCGAGGCGGGGCGTGCGTGCCGTGGTAGCCTAGGCGCGCCCCACGATGGCGCCCGCGCAGTGCGCCGCGCACATCGGCTCGGGGGTGTGGGTCAGGCGCGGCCCCACAGGCGGCGTGCTGGCGCGCGCCAGCCCGACGGGCGGCTCGCCGGCGGAGTGGCTGCCGGCAACCGTCGTTTCCGTCGATACAGCCGGTGTGCTTGTGCGCACGGAGGACGGCGATGAGGCGAACCTATCGCCCGCTGATGTGGAGCTTAGAGGAAACGACGACAGCGTGCAGGTGGGATGGCGCCGCGTGTGCCATGGGGGACGGCCGGGGTTGGTCCGGCGAAGCCGCTAGTGGGGTGTGTTGCGCGTGCGGCCCCATATGGCTGCACGTGCCATGCATGCACGCCACGCTTCCCGCATGGCACCGGGAGGCAACGGCGCAGTTTCTCCTGCGACCACGTGCCTTACCCCTCCCGCACATGCTGCTCTGGCCTTCGCCACCTCGCCTCGGGCGACGCAATGCACAAGTGCGATGCTGCACGCCCCCACCCACCCACACCCCCCAACCCACATCCACACGGACACCTCTACACATGCTCACGCATCACACAAATCATTTCATCACGGCCCATGCGGCCGCCCTCGCCCGCCCCGCCTTGCTGCCAAAAACGCGACCGCACCGGACCGCACGGCATTGCACCCAGCGCAGCGCGACCGACCCATGCCCCCGACTCATCCCGACCCTAGCAACCGCCTCCCCCACACCGGAGCCCCGGGTCTCCTCAACCTGCACCCCTGCACCGCCTCATATCCGCTGCCCCACCCGCCTCCCCACCAGGATCTCGTGCGCCTGGGCCACATGAACGAGCCGTCCGTCCTCGCAGCCCTCGCGCGCCGCTACGCCGCCGGCCAGATCTACACCCGCACCGGCCCCGGCATCATCATCGCCGTCAACCCGTTCGGCCCGATGCCGCAGCTGTACGACGCCGCCACCATGGACCGGTACCGCCTGGAGGGCTCCGACGCGGAGGAGGGCGGCCCCGCGGCGGCGCAGCGCGCGCCGCACATCTTCGCGGTCGCGAGCCGCGCGTACTGGCAGATGGTCCAGGAGGGCAGGGGCCAGGCGCTGCTGGTGGGTGGCCCCTGGGGGGTCCCATGGCGCGCGTGTCTGGGGGTTCCCTTGCAGCACGGCGCGCTGCCCGCAGGCGCCCACCATGCCGCACGCGACGCGCGCCGCCTGGCGGCGTGTTGACTGCAAGTTGACCGCTTCGTCCTGCCCCCGCGTTGGGTGGTGCCACAGGTGACGGGTGAGTCTGGTGCGGGCAAGACCGAGACCAGCAAGATCCTCATGAAGTATTTGGCCTACCTGGGGGTGAGTGGGGGGGGGGAGGGGGTCCTTCTACATGGGGGTTTGGCCCATGCCTTCATCAGGGGGTCCATGCTTGAAGGCTGAGATTCTTTCATGCTTGGAAGAGGCGAGGGTGGCGAGGGTGGGGCAAGGGCGGACGCGCAAGGGGAAGAAACGCGCCCAGGCTTGCGGTGGGCGCCAGTGCGGTGATGCGAGAGGGCGTGAGCAAGTGGGAGGACCTCTGGCGGCGGAATGAACGGGGTGTAGAGGGGCAGCTGTTGGGTAGGCTTGAGGCCTGGTTGTTGCATGGAGCACCAGGCGGCGGGCGGGGTAAAGGTGCGAGCGAGGCTGCCGCGCAGGCAAGAGGACAGCTCGCTGAGCAGAGCGGCCGGCGCCAGGCCCGGGCCTTCAGTTGGCCGCAGCAGCGCGAGCTGTGACGCGAGCTGCAATGCGCGCGCGCCGTGGGCTGCAGGGCTACAAGGGCGCGGCCGACGCGGAGCCGGACGACTCTGCGGGGCCCAGCGTCGAGCAGCGCGTGCTGGAGAGCAACCCGCTGCTGGAGGCGTTTGGCAACGCCAAGACAGTGCGCAACGACAACAGCTCCCGGTGCGGGGCACGGGGGGTTTGCGGGGGCGGGAGGGCCTTGTGAGCCGCGGCCCAGTGGGCGCAGGGCGGGTGTCACAGGTGCAGGGCGCCGCCCTGCACAGAGGCCCGCACCCGTGGCGCTGGGGCAGAGGGGAGAGGGCAGGGGCTCCGCACACTACCATTTGTGGGGCTGCTGGCTGCAATGGGGGCTCTGCTGAACCCTGGTGTTGACTGGGACGGCCCGGCATGACATTCTTTGGCTTAATTCAGGTTTGGCAAGTACATTGAGCTGCACTTCAGCGGGGCGGGGTCGATCAGCGGCGCACGGGTGCACACGTACCTGCTCGAGCGGTCGCGGCTGGTGGCGCCCAGCAAGGGGGAGCGCAACTACCACATATTCTACCAGGTGGGGCCGAGGGCGGCGAGGCATGCATGTCACGTGCGCGCGCGCACGCCCGTGCGTGCGCGCGTGCTAGCTGTACGGCAGTGAAGTCCAAATCAATTGCCAATACCGTACAGCCAGCACGATGCGGGAGCAGGGCCGTGTACGGGGTGCGGGGAGCGTGCTGTCAGACTTGCGTGGCTGGGCCGGACTCCAGGCTGAGCACGAGGGGCTGCGGGCCGGAAGCCGGAGGCACGCGGGAACGCAGCGGGCGCGCCGGGGCGCAGGCGGCGCGTGCTGCGACAGCGCCGGCTGCGACGGCGCGCGTGGTGGCGCCGGCAGCACAACACCGTAATCCCCTCCGGGCCTCGGCTTCCACGTTTTCTCACTTGGCCGGGCCGACCGCGCGCCCGCCCGCAGCTTCTGGCCGGCGCGACCCCCGAGGAGCGCGCCCGCTGGCGCCTCGGCGCCGACGCCGCGGCGCACCGCCTCACGTCCGCCGGCGGCTGCCTGTCGCTGCCCGGCGTCGACGACGCGGCGCACTTCCTCGTCACGCGCCACGCGCTGCGGTCGATTGGCCTCGGGGCGGCCGAGCAGGAGCAGCTCTTCTCGATATTGTCGGCGCTGCTGCACTTGGGGGATGCCGTCTTTGAGCCCTGCTACAACGGCACCGACGGCTGCACGCTCAGCAAGGCGTCCCGCGGCAGCCTGGGGGCCGCGGCGGCGCTGCTGGGCTGCGACGCGGCGGCGCTGGCCAAGGCGGTCACGACGCGGACGCGGGTGACGCCGGACGGGCCGATCGTGAGCCCGCTTGGCGCCAAGGCGGCTGCGGAGACGCTGGACGCGCTCTCAAAGGTGACGCGCGGCGGGGCATAGCCACGGCGGCGGCCAGGGGGCCGGCCACGGGGTCGTCACAAGATTGCGCGTGCGGCGCTCAGTGGAGGGCCCCGCCGACCCCGCACGCGCAATCTCGGGAGGGAGGGCGGTGCCTTGGCTGCGCTCCCGCTCAGGCACCCCTGGCGGCTGCTGGCGTCCCAGCCTTGCTGCGCGTCATGCCTCCCTTTCCCGACCCTTCTCAGCCTTGCCCTGCGGTGTGTCGACTGCACGCCCTTTTCACACTCCTTCACCCCCCCATCAAACCCTTTCAACCACACGCCACCCCCGCCAGGTGATCTATGCGCGGCTGTTCGACTGGCTGGTGGCCCGCATCAATGAGGCCGTGGGTGCGGACAAGGTGCGGGCCGCGCACCACAAGGCGACGCGTGTGTGGGTTTTGGCTCCTGCTGCTGCTGCTGCTGCTGCTGCTGCTGCTGCTGCTGCTGCTGCTGCTGCTGCTGCTGCTGCTGCTGCTGCTGCTGCTGCTGCTGCTGCTGCTGCTGCTGCTGCTGCTGCTGCTGCTGCTGCTGCTGCTTGGGGGCGGCCGCGGTCGGCCGCTCTTTGACCAGGGTCGGCTGGCAAGGGTGGCGGCTGGCCGTTGTTGCGGCCGGGCGCGCCCCATGTAGCAGACCACTGCACCCCACACGCCCATGCACGCTGCTATCGCAAGCCCTGCGCAGCCCCCCGCGCGCCGCGCCCGAC